AGGCATCTCTCCAGCTCTATGCTTGTAGGCCAGGGCTGTCAGGGAGAACCTTCTATCCCATCAGGTGCAGCACGCCACCATGCGGCTTGCAAACCAGCCACAGGGTTCTGGTTACCCTGAGGGTCCCTGCAGTGAGGTGACGAGGCGGGAGGGAGGAAGCAGTGCTTCGGACAAAGCCTGTATGAGGGAACAGGAGAGACGGAAGCAGAGAAAGAACAAGCGGGAGGAGGAATTGCCGCCAGACTGGCTGTGACTGCCCGCTGTCACAGCCCATGGGGTGCTGCCGGCCCTGGGCCACAAAAGAGGCAGGGTGATGTCAGAGCGACCTGAGCAGGGAGATGGGACTGGCTTCAGGCCGCTTTGTGTCCCCAGCCCCACCATTCACCCTCTCTGGGCCTCTCCATTCGGCGGGGAAGGGTGGCGCGGTGACCCTTCCAGGTCTGGCGCCGGCCCCCTCCTCGGGCTGCCTCCCTTTGTTGGGTTTGCTTCCCGAAGGAAGGCCCTCTGCACTGGGAGGGAGGGGGAGTGAGACAGATCCTGGCCAGGGTGTGCACGGTTGACCCTGCGCCTTGGGGCCCTCCTTGGACCGCAGAGCTGCCGATACTGTCCGGGCAGCCGCTGGGGCCAGTGCTGGGGCTTGACAAGGCTGCCCATGTTCCCGTGTTTTGGTCTCTGACACACTCTCAAGCCCAGTGCAAACAGCTCTCTGGAATCCATGGGATGTGCCTCGCTGCATGATAAGTTGCAGCTTTTCAAACTCTTGACTCGTGTGGCCTGCCCCGATGTCGGGGAGGGTGGGTGCTGGTGACCGTCACGCCCTTAGGGCTGTGGGCTGTGGGCACTCGGGGTGGTGACTGGGGTCTGCGAGTGATGCACAAACAGGAGCATGACTGACAGAAGTGACTTCTGTTGCTGTGAGAGTGACGACCATTCTGCGCCTCCCGTGGGTGAACCACATCTGTGTCTCTCACATCTCCTGACAAGGAGAGATTAGCTTCAAACTGTGCCTCTGTGCCTTCCTTGCACACTTATGTCAGGTTCAGGCCTGGGGTGGAAGCTCACCTTGTTTGGTTGATTTTTCTTCTCCTTAAAACAGTGTTTATTGGTTGGTTTTCTGATTATAAAGTATACACTGTGCAAACACTAGAGCACTCAGGAAGGTTCAGGAAGAGCGTCACAACCCACCCTTCGGGGCTCTGGCCCTTTTGTGTCTGCACTGCCCGTTGCCACCAGGGAGCCCCTCCAGATTTCTGTCCTGAGTCCTGTCCTGTGGTCTCATGCTTTCCTCTGTACGGAAGGGCGTCTGGGACGTGCTCTGCATAAAAGGGTCTAAAGCTGTGTTCCGTGATGTCTGGAAGGGGAAGCACATTTTCACTGGACCTGCAGGCACAGGCTTCCTTGTTTGGATGCGTGTGACCATGTTGAGTCTCTGACCTTGCTGATGAGCACAGATGCTGTTCCACTGTCTCCACAGTCTGTTTGTGTGTAACATCTGTCCCAGGGGGAAGCAGAGGTGGGGACCCTATTGTTTGAGGGTGTGTGCAGGTGTCTGAGCACCCATCTTGAGGCAGAGAAGGCTGGATGTAGACGAGTATAAACTGAGGGTATTTGTAAGAAAGGAGCTTCTTGCTTGCCTCAGTGACCAGCTGGTCATGGCCACATCTGTCCAGAACACTGAATGATTGTGATCGCTGCACATGCACCACACACACAGCCTCTGCACACATCCACCACATCCACGCACAGCCTCTGCATACCCACCACACACACACACAGCCTCTGCACACCCATGGCCTCTGCACACACACACAGCCTCTGAACACACCCACCACACAAACACAGCCTCTGCACACACACACACAGCCTCTGCACACACCCACCACACATGCACAGCCTCTGCACGTACCTACCACACACATGGCCTCTGCTCACGCACGCACACACACACACAGCCTCTGCACACACCCATGCACAGCCTCTACATACCCACCACACACACACACACACGGCCTCTGCGCCCACCCACCACACACACACAGCCTCTGCACACCCACCACACACACACATGGCCTCTGTCCACACCCACCATACACCCAGAGCCTCTGTCTGCTTTAGTCCTGAAGTTTTGCCTGATACCAGGCTCAAAAGCCTATAGAGAACATGCAAAAGGACCTTAAAGATAGAGAGCACAGGGCACCTGCACTCACTCCCGTTGCACAGTGACGGACCTCTCAGCACACGTCTGCTTGGCCCTCATGTTCACCTGAACAGGGTTCTCTCTAATGGCCCAGCCCCTGCTCCCTGCCCCAGGGGCCGTGGCTCCTGCATGTGCCTGTGGTTCTGTGATGGTCCCTTGCTGAGCAGGCCCGGTCCCTTGAGAGCCCAGGCCCCGAGTCCAGCCGTGTCCCCTGCACGCCGTCTGCTCTCGGTCGCCCCGTCCACGACTCCCCGGCTTTGTTTCTGTAAGTTTTGGACGTGTCCACAGTGTAGCAGTGTGCCCGCTGTGGTGTCGGCCCTTGGAGGAGAGGAAGGGGCAGGAGAGGAGTGCTCAGCTCTCCACGGCCAGAGGCGGGGTGGTGATTCATCCAGCTGGGGCTGCCTCTGGGGAACTCACTGGGCCAACAAGTCCTTGCTCAGGGTCAGAGCAGAGCGGGTGTCAGCCCTGGGGGTGCTTAGATTTACCCACATGGTGATCTTGAGAACTCTCACTCAGGCAGGCCTGCTGGCACATTGGGTGTTTTCAAGGAGGATCCCCAAGCCCCAGAGGCGCCCGTGGTCATTCCTAGCTTCCCACCCTGCCAAGCAAGGACCTGAGGAAGACAGAGTGCCTGCCCACCCGGGCCCAGGGCGACTCCTGACCAGTTTCTGTGCTGGATGAAGGAAGGACTGAACTCATTTGTAGATTGTGTTTCCCTTGCTTCTGCTTTTCCATTTCTTGTATTTTTTTTCTTTTCCTCCTGTTGTTCCTTTCTCACTTTTATGCTTTTTGTCCACTTCACCTTCTCCCTGTCCCTCCCCACTTCCGAATGCCTCCTCCTCCTCTCTGTCCGTGTCGTCTCCTCCTCCTCCTTGTTTGGCCCTTTTTGAAGTTGAGCCCAGTGGCGGGACTCCACGGCGTAGACCTCTCTCCTTCTGCCCTTGCTGTGTCCAGGAAGGTAACGTAACCCCCACCTTCTCCCCACGGCCTCTCAGGGGCGTAGCGACACTAGTCAAGCAGGGACCCGAAGCCCAGCTCTTTCTCTTCTTCCTCTGACACCTGGTAGCCCTGTTACAAACCCCTGAGTATGTGGCAGTCCCTCACAAGGTACAGTATCCCTTCGACTGTCTCGGGGGGACTGGGGAGTGGGGTGAAGCCAGGGAGCAGGTCCAGCCCTCGGGCCGCTCAGGCTGCAGTGACCGCAGTTCCAGGTCACCGCTCGTGGTTGGGCCCTTCCGCCTCACATCCCGGGACACGGGCAGTGATTTGTGCTGGTGGAGTCGAGGAATACTGTCCTTACCAAGGCTGGTCTACGCAGATGCCCCATTCTTTCCAGACAAGCACTGAAAGCAGACTTCTTTCCCTGTGTCTTGCTGAGTGTGTGTGTTAACTGTCTGGTTTGCAGTCCGTTGTGGTGGTGATTGTCGTTGACCGCATGCGGGTGGGGCCGGGGAGTGTGGCTCCTGCTAACCCGCTAACCTTCCTCTTCCCTCCCCGGCACTCGCTCCCCGCTGACCGCCACCAGCCACGTCCATCTCGGCCGTCCCTCTGGAGCTGGCTTGAGCAGTGAGGGAGGCGTCCTGGCACCCCGGGATCACCCTCAACACCCTGTGGGTGCCCCGTGCAGAGCCGCTCAAGAAGGAATGGGCACAGCTGGACGGGGCTGCTTTCGAAGCCAAAGAGTCGAGTTGCCGGGCGGGCAGGGAGAGCTGGCCCAGCACTCAGCTTGTGCTGCACAGCGGCCAGGGCCCAGGGCGGTGCGGTGCAGACGTGCCCTGCCCTCTGGGTTTGATCTTCCTGGGAGAGGACTTCCGACCCATGCCCCCAAAGCTTGGAGAGATCTCTTAGCTCAGCTGTGAGCAGACTTCAGGGCCTATGAGCACGTGGTGTCCTTGGCAGAGGTACCAGCTGTGCTCACGTGCAGTTCCCTAGGAAGACAGCCCCCAGCTTCCCTGAGACTGAGGGCGGCTTGTAATCCGAAAACAGCCAAGAGCCACCACAGTCTGGTTTCTGCACCTGGGCGGGACCCACCACAGACGTGGGCTTCCTGGTGTCCCCTCCGTGGTATGGCTTCTTGGAAGGCTCTTCCTTCTCTCCCCCTGCCGCAGCTGAGCCTGAAGGGGGTCAGGCCACTGCTGGTGGAGACCGAGGTGTCGGCCGAGGGGGTGCGGGCATCTGAGTGTGGGCAGCAGGGACCCCGGAAGCTGCAGCTGGGCTTGAATCAGAGGGGGGAACCTGCAGTCTCCCTGCCCTGGGAGAGACCCCCACGCCTCCTGGGGCTGTGCTGCCATGCAGGGGTTGTGGGGAGCACTTGTCAGGAGCCCGAGGGGTCACAAGATTGAGAGAGGCACCTCCCTGGTCAAGATGTCAGAAATGAGGCAGCCTCGGGTCAGCGGCCACAGCGAAATGCTGGCCCCCTCACTCAAGGGTCCTGGAAAGCAAGGGCAAGTGTGCTTCTAGTCTGCCATCTGCCTCTTCATTAGACTGGTCCCCTCAAAATAGTCCTAGGACCCAGCAAGTCCCAAATATATGTGAAATGAATGGAAAAGAAAAGGAGGGCAGAGCACTGAGAACCTCCCCAGAAAAAGCAAGCGGTCCAGCAGGAGGGGCCAGGCGAGCCACTGGGGGGTGAGGGCCGGCCGAGGGGGAGAGAGGAAGGCGCAGGCTGCCCTGGGGGGGCCCTTGTGACCCAAGACACATGGCCTGGCCTGGGCACAGCAGGCAGCCCTTCGCATTTGTCCCCGTGTGACAGTCCTTGGCGGGAGATGGCGGCACTGTGGCCTGACATGCCCTCTCTCGGCAGGCATGGGCAAGAAGGACGACCCCAAGCTGATGCAGGAGTGGTTCAAGCTGGTGCAGGAGAAGAATGCCATGGTGCGCTACGAGTCGGAGCTGATGATCTTGTGAGTTCCCTGGGCAGGGGTGGAAGGGGGCGTGGGCCCAGGGCCTGTTGCAACAGAAGCATAGCCCCTCCTAGTGTGGGGGATGAGGGCTGTGCCACCCCCACCAGTCACCTCCTTGTTTCCCTTTCCCCCCAAACCCCCGGAAACCCCAGTGCTCGGGAGCTGGAGCTGGAGGACCGGCAGAGCCGGCTGCAGCAGGAGCTCCGTGAGCGGATGGCGGTGGAAGGTAGGCGGGGTGGAGCAGGGCGGGGACGGGGGCGGTTGGGGCAGGCTCCCTGCCTCCGCCCTGCAGGGGACTCACCTGTGTGGTTCTGCCCAGACCACCTGAAGACGGAGGAGGAGCTGGCAGAGGAGAAGAGGATCCTGAACGAGATGCTGGAGGTGGTGGAGCAGAGAGATGCGCTGGTGGCCCTGCTGGAGGAACAGCGGTTGCGCGAGAAGGAGGAGGACAAGGACCTGGAGGCCGCCATGCTGTCCAAGGGCTTCAGCCTGCACTGGTCCTGAGCGCCCGCCCAGCCCTGGCTGGTCTGTGCACTGCCTGAGCCGGGCTGCTTCCCCCAGATCCCCCTCCCGGACCCCAGGTCTGAGTGGGCCTGGCGCCTCCGGGGAGTTTGCGCTCAGGTCCACGTGGCTCTGAGAAGGGTTCAGGCATCTGGGTTTTGGGGAGCCCTGGGTGAAGCTGGTTGTCCAGCGGCTCAGCCTCCTTGGAGGAGGCCCCCTGCCCGCCAACTCCAGAGGGCGAGAGTGTAGGGGCGTGCCCAGGAAAGGTGTCTGGGAGGACCCAGTGACCACGCTCCCCTGGCACCATACAGAAGTGGATGAGAAGCCCAGCCCACACCCCAGGCCTGTCCTGGCTGTGCCCTGCGGCTGCTGCATTTGCTTTTAATTCACAACACTGGAAAATACTGACTTTGGGGTCAGGCAGGGCCCCGAGTTCTGGCCCCGCCAGCAGGCTGGCCTTGTCATGGACGCCTCGCGGCGGGTGGGAGGCCGTCCTCCACGCCTGGTTCCTGTGCTTGCACCAAACAAGGTTGACAGCCTGGGAGATGCAGCCTCTGGGGACCCTCTTTGTCAATTAACTTATTTTTTTATACTTGAAGAGAAGCAGCTTCACTTTTGTATCTTTACTGGGACCCTGATACCCTGGCACCCAGGTCGAGGCGTGGAGCTGGGTCCCAACTGACTGTGCTGCCCTCCATTTATCACCCCCTTCTTCCTGGGGCTGACCGGAGCCCTCCTGTCAGAGAGACCCTGTGTGGGCCCCAATGCGCTGCTCCCATCCCCTGTGCCTGGCCCCAGGTGTCCACATCTGCACTGCTCACTCATCAAGGATGTACTTGAGCTGCTGGAGGCCAGGCCGCGGGCCAGGTACCGCTCAGAATCCTCCCTGTTGAAATCCCGGGTCCATAGGACCTGTGGTTTTCTCCGTTTTGGAGCCAAGGTCTCATCTCCCACCTTGACTGAAGACGGTTTAGGCCGTGGCACCAGCGTGAGGGACCCTGCTTGGTGAGGCCCGGACCCAGCATCCAGAGCTGTGGTGACAGCACGCAGACGGGACTCTGGTCGGGAAGTCTCTCTCTCTCACACACACACACACACACACACACACACACGGCAGCTTCTGCCCAGCCCTCTGCTCATGCCTCTTCATGGGGAGGCACTCTAGGGCCGTGGTTCAGCCAGAGGCTGACCGTGTCCAGCTCCCAGAATCTGCAGTGGCCGTGCCCGTCTGCAGAGGAGCTCAGTCGGTGCCAGGCCAGTCCCGAGACCCTCCAGCCCGCCTGGTGGAGCAGGACCACATGCTGGAAAGGGAGGCTGTAGGGGCAGGATGAGGGGCATCCACACCAGCCTCAGAACGTTCTTGGGGAACCACATCGTGCCTCAACTTGAACACATTCATTCTCACTGCAAAGGAACAGAGAACTGTCTTCTTGAGTCTGTCCCAAAGCTGTTGTCTGTCACCCCCTGGAATCCAGGGGGCTCGTGGCTCTGACCCTCACTTCCTGCTTGTTGAGGCAGAGCCTCTATTTCTGTTCTCCTTTCTTAACAGGGGAGCAGAGGGTGTTCTAGATTCCATCTTTAAACCCCAGCCTTCCGATAAAACTGGGCTTGGGACAGGATTCATCGCCTGTGTGGCCTTTGCCAACCCTTCCCACCCACCACCTGGTGCACCGTGACTGCCAGGCCCGCCTGCGAGCCCGTCCACCCAGGACGAGGACGCGTTTATGAAGTAGCCAGGAGGGACGTGGCACTGCCCCGTGGAAGCGCACCGTGCCTGCCGACATGAGGAAGGCCTGGAGCTGCAGAGAAGCTCAGAAATGCTCCCCAGCTCCCTTCCGCGGTGCTGCGACTTCAGGTTCCAGTAGAGCACTTTTTCTGAACGCTCCATTTCATAACCACTAGTGTGCAGGTTGTCGTAGTGCCTGCTGACAGGCTGCTGCAGTTTCCAGCTCTGGGGATGCACAGCTCCTGTCACGTCCCCACGCGGGCAGGGCCGCAGGAAGTCTCCCTCTGCAGCGCTGGGTGTGAGTGAGCCTACGCCATAGCCGAGGGCTCAGCCTGCTCAGATGGCGTCTTCCAGCCTTCACCCCAGGAGCCATCCTCCAGCTGCCCTGACCAGCAATGAGAGGCTATTCCCGATCTTTTCAAAGAGCAGGATTTTTTTCAGTAGGGCAGAAAGTGGAGTTTACAGAAAACAACTTTAAAGGTGGAAACAACTGACCTACAAAGGGGAATGGGCCATTTTATGCGCAATAAAAGTTTCTAAAAGAAACGCAGAGTGTATGTCTTAACTCACTCTCCTGAAGTTGATAGGACCCTGGGCACCGCCCTTCAGGGGTGGTGTCCACACATGGCAGAGTGCCTGTGGGTTTGAAGAGTGCACTTTTGTGCCTTTTCAGCCAGCTTTATTTTTGTTCATATTATTCTGTCTCAGTCGCCCACTGAAACCACTTGAGCAGGTGTGTGGAGCGACCAGGGGGTATGAGGCTGCCCTTCAGAGCGGGGCCAGCAGAGTGTCCTCCTTGTCAGGGTGACCCCAAGGCCCACAACCTGGTGCCAGGAGGGTCTGCAGCCTCCAGGCCTAAGTCCGTGAGATGTGTTGACCTCCCCAAGTGCATTCCGGATGCAGGGGCTGAGAGAGGCCTGACGTCCTGGCCCCTGTGGGCTCCTTGATGTGCTGACCGCAGGGGTGTGGCACCTCCTTCATCCCAGAGCAGATCCCCAGGGCACAGGCTGCCCTTGGCAGTGGCAGTGGGTGGGCCAGCACTGAGCAAGGCAGCTACTTCCCGGAGCCCCTGGCACCGTGTGGGCATCGAGCAGAGAAGAATCAGAGCGTGACCTGACGTTCTGGGCAGGAGGTCTGGGTCGGGCTGGTGCCTGCAGGGGAGGGGCCGTGCTGACCCCCTTTGGTTCCTTGGGGCCCTTGATTAGAACTGGAGATGGGCAGGGTTGGCTGCGGTTCACAGGTGCCCACGTGGCAGCAGGCGGTGGTGGCTTCAGGCTGACAGCGGAGGGCAAGCCGCCTGGAGCTGCTACCGTTCCCTGTGAGAACCCACCTCATCTGTGGCTCCGAGTCTATCCAGAGCCTGGTGGCCACAGCCCTGTCACAGGAGCTGCAGTGGGAAGTGGGAAGCACACACAGGCTGTCTCTCTGATCAAAAGACTCTCCCCGTGGGATGCTCAGTGAGGAGGGAGGAAGCCATCCGTCCTGGTAGCTGGGCCAGGGCAGGACACACGGGCCTCCAGCATGGCTCCCAGACGGCCTGTGGCTGCAGGCTTGGCAGGTGGTGTTTGCTGGCATCCCCACCTCCCATGTCCCCTCCCTGAGGTGGCCTGGCAGCTGGTACTTCATCTGGCAGTGGAGCCCCAGATGCTGTGGATCTGAGGGGGCACCTGCTCGCAGGAAGACGCAGAGGGAGACAGCGGCTGGCGCGCACACCACCCCATCCCCACGCTGCCTCTCAGAGCCGGGTGCTGGTTCTGGGGTGGGACTGGGCTGGATGGGATCCAAGCCAAGGACCTTACCCCAGCAGTGCGTGGCCTGATTCCTGGAGACTAGTTCCCAAAGGCCCCAAAGGGCTGAGGCGCCTGCATCTTGCATATGCCTCACCTGGCATGACTTGACGTTCTCCTCGGAAGGTTGGAGACCCAGGAGGACAGAGGAGCTGGTCCCTCCAGCCCAGGGCTTCCTCATGCAGTCTGCCAAGCCCACAGAGTTGCAGTTTACTTGTGATGATTTTAAATGCGGGCCCAAATCTGTTTCATCCCAGGAACTTAGTTTATTGCTCTGCAGAGACAGCATCCCAGGACGTTTCGAGGGGCCACCACCAGGAGAGCGTGAGGCTGGATGATGCTAGGCCTTCCACAGTCAGCTGGAGGGGACCTCCCAGAAGGCCTCCATCTCCGTTCCTGGAAGTTCTGGAGAGTAGCCTGGGCTGCCAGGTTTTCCAGTGGAGAGATGTCTGGAAAAAGTCTCCAGAAGAGCCAGGTGTCTTCACCCTCCTAGGGAGGGTTGCAGAGGTAAACAAGGATGAGACCTGTTGGTGGTGACCATGTCCTTGGCGAGAAGGAGGGGGAGCAGGGAGGAAGTGGCAGGGCTAAAGTCAGGTGCTATTTCTCCTTCTGTGTGGAAGAGGATCTCTTTCCCACTTAATAAGCAGATGCACACCCTCGGGGCAGGACTCCCCCGTTAAAGCCCCTGAAGGCCCCCCGACTAGTGGGCATCCAATGGGGCCAGGCTGCCATGTCTCAACACCCCCCAGCGTCCCCGCCCCCAACAACCTCCACTCCCTCCTCTGCTGCAGGTCTGGAAGGAGTGGTCAGCAGAACAGGGCCTTCTGCCCCGAGCTCTTTGTCCAGGCTGAGGACAGCCGCTCCTCCAGCATCTCCCAGGGGCCCTGGGGTGGGGTGGTGGGAGGAAGCTCACCTCTGCTGCTGGAGAAGCTGGGTGGGAGGGTGAGGGATGAAAAGACTTGTCGGAACAACTAGGAGCCTGCTGGTGTCACTGGGCTCTTCCCTGGAGTCTATTCTGACCACAGCCAGGCCATGGGGCCCGGAGGGTCCCTGTGGAGCATTCTCAGGCACCAGGCAGTCCTGTGGAAGTGACTCTGCTCTGGTTCCCAGGGTGGAGGCCTCCCTGGTTAATGTTGGTTGTTGGCTGGAGCTTTGCCCGCTCCAGGGCCGGCAGCTCTCCTCCCCCTCTCCACCAGCAGGATCTGCACTACTGTACTCTCCCCTGACTCTGCTGCCTGTCCTTCAAGGTCCAGAGCCTCGACTGTCTTGGTGGGAAAGCACCTTGGAGGTTGGGAGCTGGTCCACCCCTGCCCAGGCCCAGACCTTTCTCTATGGACGGAATGGTGGCCACTTCCAATCAGCCACTCGCCCTCTGCCTCCACTCCCTGGCCTCCCACAGCGGCCCCTCGGAGTGGGGCAGGGAGCACAGAGGAGGACCCTGCAGGGCCCTGGTGCCGGAAAGTGCTCTCCCAGCCTCTGCTGGTCTGGCT